CCTGCGTAGAGTTGAAAAAATGTGCAGGGGAGACTTCACCTTCTTCTCGTTTTGCTTTTTGCTGTGTGGGCTGATGAGTTTATCTTTGCTCTGACACTTCCACTGCTGTGTGACAAAGGTTTGCATTACCCTGCCAAGAGACGACACACTCATGAAGTTTAATGACACTAGAAAACCCTATATAAGACTAGAAAACATTTTCCAGTAGTTTCCTACTTTTTCAACTGATGTCCAAGTCCAAATCTGTCTTTTGAAGACACTTGGAACACATCAACAGTGGGAACTGGAAACGGGACATGACATTTTCCATGAGAAAGGTATTGCAAAACAAAATACCACATAATGTAACCATTTGCTACAGACGTTTGATTTGGAGGTTTTTAAAACACTAGAACAGAAGGTCACTCTGAAATGAGCCACTTATGATGGGACATATCTTGGAAAGGGAACAAGAGCAGGCATTACGGCCATGTCCAAGTAACTTCTCTCTTTCTCCTGCAATCTGAACTGAAGTGGTCAAGTTCTTGAGGCAAGTAATTCTGAACAAATCTACAATCAACAGAGAGAGCTCAGCGCAAGGACACTCAGACGACTCTCACGGAGAAGAACAAGTCATATTGTATTTATGCAAAAGGATCACAGAATAAAAACATCTAACAAGGCAGGTTGGTCAAACGAGTCTAATATTGTTGACAAGAAAATGATTTGCAGGATTTTCTTAAAGAGTTGTTAACTGTTTTATACATTTAACAAAGTTCTATGTACCCCTGGCTGGGAATCATGGCAATAGACTGAAGTTTTGACAGGAATGAAAATGAAGCTGTAAGGGATAGAATTACAATGTGCTCAATGGACTGTACGGTTGTTTAACAACAAAATCTTTACAAAATACTTTTTTAGTAGCCAAAAACTCTGTTTTGAAAACTGTGAGTTGTGAAAATTACACGATTTAGGATCGTTATACAGTGTGTGCCATTGTTAAGACTGCAAGTCTATACCTTACAGCCTTGTTTTCATTCATGTTCAATTCAATATGGCGTCCAACCTGACTAAGGGCTACAGATGTTTATAAGATTGATATTCTATTACAGAAAGTTTGTTTGTGTGTGTGTGTGTGAGAGAGTGAGAGAGAAAGAGAGTGAGAGAGAGAACTAACCTGGTCCATTCAGATACTGTGTGAGGGAGCAGTGAAGCCGCACAATAACAGGTTCACTCCGG